CCCCGTAGTAAGGAGGGAGATCCCCAACTAGATCAGGTTGCTCAGAGTCCAATCAAGCCTGTCCTTGAATGGCCCAGGCATGGGGCCTCCACCACCTCTCTGGGCAGCCTGTTCACTGTTTCACCCCACCATTAGGAGGAAGTAAATAACTTCTTCCTAATGTCTAATCTAAATCAACCCTGCTACCATTACCCCTTGTCCTGTTGCTACATATCCTTGTAAACAGTCCTTCCCCAGCTTTCCTGTAGGCCCCCTTCAGGTATTGGAAGGCCACCATGAGGTTTCCCTGGAGCCTTCTCTTCCTCAGGCTGAACAACCCCACCTTTCTCAGCCTGTCCTTGTAGGAGAGGTGGTCCAGCCCTCTGATAATTTTTATAGCCCTCTGGACCCTAACAGGTCCATGTCTTTCCTGTGCTGAGGACTCCAGAGCTGGACACAGTATTCCAGGTGAGGTCTCACTAGAGAGGAGGGGCAAAATCACCTCTTGATCTGCTGGCCACACTTGTTTTGATACAGCCCAGTATGTGATTTGCCTTCTGGGCTCTGAGTGCACATTGTTGGTTCATGTTAAGCTTTTCATCCACCTGTCCCCCCAAGCGCTTTTCTGCAGGGTTGCTTTCTATCACATCACCCCCCAGCCTCTATTGATGATGAAGATTGCCCCTACTCAGGTGCAGGACCTTGCATGTGACCTTTTTGAACCTCATAAGGCTCACATGGGACCACTTCTCAAGCTTGTCCAGGTCTCTCTGGATAACATCCCATCCCACTGGCATGTCAACCTCACCACTCAGCTTGATTTCATCCACAAACCTGCTGAGGGTGCACTTGATCCCACTGTCTATATCATTGATGAAGATATTAAACAGCACTGATGCCAGCACAGATCCCTGAGGGACACCACTTGTTACCCATCTCTATCTGGACATTGAGCCCTTGAAAACTACCCTCTGGATGTGACCATTCAATCAGTTCCCTATCCACTGAACAGACCACCGATCAAATCCATATCTTTCCAACTTAGAGAGAAGGATGTTGTGTGGGACCATATCAAAGGCCATGCAGAAGTCCAGATTGATTACATATATGGCTCTTCCTTTGTTCACTGATGTAGTCACTCCATTGTAGAAAGCCACCAGGTTGGTCAGGCAGGACTTGCCTGTAATAAAGCCATGCTGACTATCTTGAATGACCTCCCTGTCCTCCATGTACCTCAGCACAGCTTCTAGGAGGATCTGTTCCATGATCTTCCCAGGCACAGAGGTGAGGTAGACAGTTCAGTCGTTCCTGGGGTCCTCCTTTTGACCCTTTTTAAAAATGAGTGTAACATTTCCTTCCTTCCACTCACCAGGGACTTCACCTGACTGCCATAGCTTTTCAAGTATCATGGACAGTGGCTTGGCAACTACATCAGCCAACTCCCTCAGGTCTCTGGGATGTTTCTTATCAGGTTGCATAGACGTATGTATGTTCAGGTTCCTCAGATGTTCACGAATCTAGTCTTCGCATACAGTGGGAGGGGCTCTGTCCCCCGGTCCCTGTCTTGTGGTCCTTCAACTCAGGAGGTTGGAAAGAGATTGCCAGTGAAGACTGAGGCAAAAAAGTTGCTGAGAACCTCAGCCTTCCTCCGTGTCTGTTGTTTACTAGTTTGACATTCATCTGCAAATAGTGCTTTCTCATTAAAAAGATTTACAAGGCTTATTACTAAGCACTGCAAGTTATGAAAAAAAGGAGTTACAATTCACTGTCATTAACACTAAAGACAAGACACCTTTCACCAACTTCAAATCTATTCAGTCCTGATGACCAGGTCCATCCAGTGAAAAGACTATTATTCTGTGCCTACACACACAGCAGACAAGGATTCCTCCCCAGCATGCAGATAAAAGGAATAGGCTATCATCTGACTGAAAGCAGTCATCCTTCATTTTTTTCATGCTTGATTACTTTCAGAAGAATTTTAAGGCTGCTTGGGGAAGGCATCACAGCAACCTTCTTCAGTTATTTTTCTCAGTGGGTTGAGACCATGACTCACCCTGCTTTCCAGGCACAGTAGATGAACACCTGCATAAAGCTATGCTTAGCTGCTAGAAGCCAAGGACCTCTGGCCATTTCTTTTGAGAGCATGCTTGAGCTAACAACCCCAATAGCACCAGTCCTACCTTTGGTCTAAACCAGTGGTTCTCAACCTGTGGTCTGCAGACCCTGGGGTGCCGTGATGTCATCACAGGGGGTCCACGAAGGCTTAAAGCAGGGATGGGGAACATCCAGCCCAGAAACATTTGGTTTGGCCTGCAGAGGAAGACAAGCTCATAGAAATATCCACAGCTGGTGCTCTGAAACTGCAGTTCCCCTTCTCTCCAAATTTGAAGACCCTTCATGAGAAAATTGAAATATCTGATGCAGTCTAGTGCTTTAAATCTTGAATTAAGTCATGGTGGTCTGCAGCCACAAGAGGTATTTAAAGGGGGTCTGTGCTGAAGGAAATGTTGAGAACCCCTGGTCAAAACTGTTACCTCCCTGCACCAAAGCAAAGCTTTGTGTGGCTGTGAAGGAAACTAAACTTGATTAAAGCTAGCCCAGCCAAGAAGAAACATGTAAACATCTCTGCTTGCCTTTTGTTCACCTTTATATATAGCTACACACAGATGAGCAGAGGGTTTTGTCATTTTTGAGCCCCCCCCAATCTCGCTCTGAGTTCCAGTTCTATTTTCAGTATGTCTGTGCACATAATTTTAAAGCACTATTTAAGCAAGTGACAAAACTAAAGCAGTATTATAGCTTGTGGAACAAGGTGCTGTACTTTGTTTTAGCAAAAAAATTACTGAACTAACTTGTTGCTTTGGAAAGATGTACAACATGCCTCCAGATAGCAATTCAGATGAGGAATGCAGTAGGAATTATGAATCAACTCCTGGAGAAGCCCCTCTCAATTATAAGCAGATATTAAAAAGACTTGCACCAACTACAGCGTCCTAAAGTTACCTGGTGTGATTCCCATTCTATTTCTAGTAGCAATTTACTATGTTGCTATTTACAGTTACATGAATGAGCTCTAATGCATAGATTTTAAGTACCTGGCTACAAAAATTGAGTTTGAATATCTAAAACCAGGCGATCACAATCATTCACCGAAGAGCTAGAATCAGGAGCAAATTCGTGCCTTGTTGTTGAAATGGAATCTTTTCTTTAAGGTACTTAGAAATCTTTATAAAGCTACAATTTCAGACTAAACATTAGTTTTACTCGCATACCAAATACTATCTTTCATAATTTGCATTCCCCTGAAAATATCCCCAGAATCTGGATAAGATAACTTTAAAATTTATTAAACTGATCCACCTCATCTTTACAAGTCTAACCTAGAAACATCACAACACAGTCTTGTGTACATTGTCATTGCAAGTATCTTCTCTTGTTATTTAACACTATGTTTTGGTTTACTAGAACACTGTTTGAAAATCCACAATACACTCAGGGCAACATGATTTAATTTAATGCAGAATTTCAACCAGAAGTCTACAGTAACCTGGTTAAAGATATGAGTGTTTTAGGCCTGAAATAATGCTGATGATTGTGTAAAGGTGATCACATTTAGATTCAAAATTTGTTTCGGTTCCAGTACATCTGCTTTAACAAAGCCATCTGTAAGCATTTACAGTTAAGACTGTCTAAATAATAGGGTATATATTTCAATACTTGGTAACAAATTGTTTTTAACATTTATTTCTATAACACGGCTACAAGAGAGTTTAAAGTGAGACTGATTATTGCACCTCTCAGTCTGGCCATTTTCCCATTTCAAAAAATTTTAATTCAGGAGTTAAATTCTTAATTTTCATTTTCTTTGAACATTTTGCTCAGCTGTTCAACTAGTGTTACAAGCTCAGGGTTTCCCCCAAGTGATTCAATTTGTTTATAGGCTTCAGATTCAAGCTCTTTCAGTGTATTCCGAGTGTACTCAAAGGAACCCACATTTTCAAGGTAATGTACACAGTATTTTTTTATATCTATGTTCTCTGTCCTTTGACGTAAGATGTTTTGCACCTGAGTACTTTCAGGTCTTGACCAAATTGCGTGAATGGTTGGAAATGAGAACTTGCCCTCAGTCAAGTCTTCACAAAAACTCTTGTTTTCACTATATTCTTTGGAGTGCAAGTTGGCATAGTCATCTCTTATTTGGAAGAAGAGGCCAAGTGTGTTAAGAAGCGGCTTTAAGTCTTTTTTGTAATCTGAAAACAGCTGCATGAGGCCTACAGCTAGTCCAAAGAGACCACCTGTCTTTTGCAATACCATAGCTTTATATTCAGCTTCCGTAGGACAGGTGTAGGTGTCCCTCCAGTAAATATCCAGGCCTTGGCCTTTATGGAGTTCCAGAAGTTGACGGGTAAAAACTTTAACAGCATCTGGATGATCAAGGGTTAAAACCTTCTCTAAACCAAGGAAATATACATAATTAGCACAGTTGATCACAGATGGAATTCCATAGATACTGTGTGCCACAGGAAAGCCCCGTCGCAGCTTTGAGTTATCTTCAATATCATCCACAAGTAGGCTTGCATTGTGCAACATCTCTGTCACTTCAATGATAACCTATCACAAGAAGAGAAAATTAAGTAATATAACCTCCAATTTTGCAAGACCTTATTTAAAGTTGATAAGGTTTTAAAGAATAATATTCTCTATCACTGAGCTTCCCCTTTACACCCTTTGCTTTTACTACTAACATAGATTTATAATTCTCTCATCAGCCAGTTTGTTCCAAATCCTGGACCGTGTGGTCTGCCTTGTGTAATGTTTACAGATTCAAGGTGAACTTACTCCCTGAAGTGTTTCCACTCACACACTCCTCTTCATTGTTGCTACAGGTCTAAAATATGCCATTGTCTGAGAGTCATGCAGTAACTTATTAGAAACACAAATAGAGGAAAAGCTACACAATGTTGTGACAAGTTTAGATTCAACAACCTGAGATCTCCCAAAGTCAGTTCTTGAGAGAGACAGGTATGATCCATTTGTCTCATAAACCTTGCTTGCATAAGTTGAGAGTTCATCCTTGTTTCCTCACACTGTGAGGTTATTTTCAGTACTGAGCTCTTAAAGCTCAGACAATTCTCCTTGAAACATTGTTTGGAAAATTCTTGACAGAAAGGCAACAGCTACAACTTCTTTTGGGAAGCCTCCTACACACTTAATACTTGTTGCTAAGTAGACAAATACACACCACCTGATGTATGCAATAAACTTCAGAACATCAAGCTTGTATCTGACTAAGTTTTTTTTTTAAAACTGAACCTTAACAATCCCAAAGCAGGACAATTCAACAACAAATGAAGAGTTTTTACACTATATACTGTTTTTATTACACAGCTGCAATGCAGGGAACTGACATTCAGCACCTGCTTAAATGGAAATAAATATAAGCATGTAAAACTGCATACTGCATAAGCTCACTGAAAACACATCTCACCAAGATATGATTTTAAAGCTAATGAACCTATTCCACTTGCTTGCTACAAATACTGCACTCAGTCCATATCCATAAAACAACTGCTTCTGTAAAATACTAAGGCTGCCACTAAATAGTGGTAAGTACTTAGTACGGCCCTGTTTGGTGGGTGCTGTAGGAAAAAACAAGAGGCACTTTGCTGCAAGCATTTTCTTGAGCAGCAAGCCATCTAATCTTCAGTGACCACTGTCCCAAAGATTAAAACAAAAAACAACAACAACAAAAAAATCAACCTAATCGTTCGTCCAAGATACAACTGCAAGAGCAACCTACTCAAGAAGCACTAATGACTCACCTACAGGACAGAAGCGAGCCCTACTTTGACCTGTAAAGATATGTTGTTGCCCATTGACTTTAAATCAAAGGCCAGAGCACTTATAGAAAACAACTCTGACTGATTTGGCTGAATAGTCTTTTATTCCATTATGTTATTCTCATTCTCAATACTGTCAGAAACGTTTCCCTGTATTCTATGAATACACTTATTTTAACATTTCTCTTGCTAACCTATTTCATGTCACTGTCAGTTTCAAAAACTTCTGCAGCTTCTAGACATTTGAGGTTTAATCAAAACAGTGCTTCATGACTCTGAATTAAGTTATCTTGTGAACTTCAGAAAATACAAGTGTCAAAAATACTTCAAAGTTGAAAGCAAGGAGCAAAAAAGTTCAGACAGCGGAAAAAGCTTATTTTAGGAGGCATCAGGAAGTAGCCTGAGGAAGTGAAAAAACTGCTTGTCATAATGAAAGTTGAGGAACCAGTACAGAGTGTTATGCTTTGTTACAACCTAAGCCTATCTAATCAGTATCTGCTGCACTATCACTCCAACGCTTCTACCTCCTTACCTGCAGTAGCTTTAAAATTTGCTTGGCCCTGTACTAGCCCATTTCAGTGCCACCGTAGAAGAAAGTTCATGTGACAAACCAAAAAAAAAAAAAAAAAAATGACAAGGTCTTTTTTTTTTGTCCTCAAATGACCTGAAGAATAAAAATACTACATTCCATCACAAAGAGCTTAAGTTGTGAAAGAAACGTGAAAGCATCAGTTTTCTTCATAAAGATAACCAAGACAAGTGGTCTAAGTTTTCAACAATGGTTACATGATTTGCAATTTAAAAGTGACAGGTAGAACTAGTAACTTCTGCTCACACAAAGGCACAACAGTTTTAGTTTACTATAGTACATGAAAGAAGGTGGACCCATGTTGCCATAGGCGCTCAGCAACAGGGCAAGAGGCAACAACAGTCAGACCAGCACAAGAAATCCCAGTTTGACAAAATGGAAGAGCTTCTTATCGTGGAAGGGGTTCAGCATGGGAAGACAGACCCTTAGAAGCTTCAGAACCAACATTCTGTTTTTCAAAACTCAGCAAGGTCCCCAGAAGCCCGAAGTAGCTACAGAGAAAGCCCTGCTTTAAGCACAGAGTTGTCCTACATCACTTCCAGGGGCTTCTTCCAGTTTGAATTCTGATCTGTGTTGCTCTATAATACATTTTATTTGGCTAAGTAGCTGAGCACAAAGGGCAATATGTGCCAGAATAAATCTGGATAAAAAATTATATAGGCAGGTTGGAAAATAGAAGGGAAGAGTTACTAGATGAAGAATGCAGCCTCTTCCTTCATTGTTTAAATCACTTAAACCTTTTTGCTACTTGACAACTATGAAGGGTCACTCTTACACCAGCCTGAAGACAAGTCCTTCACAAGCTCTAAAGGTATTTCTGCCAACAATTAATGAAATTAACTAGGGACCAGCTGGGTAAGTGTCTAACACCAGAAGTGGTTAATTTAATTCCATATATTATCTGGGACACAGAGAATGTTTTGCATTCTCCATATGCATTTAGCAAGCCTCTAGTCTAACCAGGAGGCTAATTTTTCATTTGACAAGCCACAATGCTTAAATACACAGCCACCCATCTTGCACAGGTTTGTCGAACAGAAATGCAAAAGGGAAGGAAAATTCCTGGCTTAATGCTTCTCATTAGCAAGTAAGGGCTTGAGACTGTATGAGAAGCAGCCCCCAGTTTTAGGTCCAGAACAAGTGGTTTATGAAGTTAAATTAACTGCTGTCTTTGAAATTCTCATATAAAATTCATAAGATTTTATTTTCAATCACTGTATTTGTGTAGTTTACAAGGTAGCTGTCTAGCTTCTTTCAGAAGTCATTAAAAACTCAGTGTTAATAATGAGTTAAGTGGGTAACAAGGGTAGCTGATTATCTGCAACTTAAAATCATAGAATCATAGAATCC